GACAAACAAAGAAAAATCGAAAAGGCAATGGAGTGTGAAGCAACTATACCTGAAGACTTGGATATAGGAACAATATAAGTAATATAAAGAAATTCTTATACAATAAATAAGACGACAGATTTTATAAAAACTAGTAAAGATCAATTTGAGATGAAAGGCAATGAATCACTAGGAGATGATAGACTTGTTATCTAATCACTCAAGAACGGGGCTAGACTCTGATCTTTAAAATATAAGAACTTTTTAATTTGTGCTTACGAGAAAAATCGATTCCGTCTAAATAAAATAAGGCTGTAATGATTCTGCTACACAAAAAAGGAGATAAAATTGACCTAGAAAATGATCAAAACCTTTGCTTGTAAGGCCATATTTACAAGAATCATAGAATATATAAATATATGTATATAATTCTGATCTTTGTTTTCTTACCACGAACGACAAAGGCCAACCTCTATCAGCATCAAGAAAGATCATGTCCGATTTTTCCCATAGCCAACACCGCACCGTTCTCACCAAAATCAGCATTAGCATTCCAATTATAAGATCGTGGAATGGAATTTAAGAAAAGCTAACTGGTCTGCTTTCTCTAGTAATCTTAACAAATGATTAGATTGGATCCCACCAAAAGCATAAATTACGGGAGATTGACCAATAACAACATCAGTAAAGCAACAATTCCTAGATGATACCACAAAGAATATATTCCAGGATGGTCTGAGGAGAGCGAAAAACTGTCCAACACCGCCCCATTCTCATCAAAATTGGTATTCGCATTCTAATTATAACATTGTTTCTACGTCCCAGATGGAATTTTGGGAAAACTAACTGGTCTGCTTTCTCTAGTAAGCAGAGTAACATCACCAACAGTAACAATTCTTAGAGGGTACCGCAAAGAATATATTCCAGAATGGTCTAAAGACAGCGAAGAACTGTATGAAAAATTATGTGAAGACGGAAGGCAGGAAATTACAGACGAATTAATCTACAGCATTGATACCGCCAGGTGCGAGAAATGGGCTGAGACAATTAAAAATCTAGATTTCGAAAACTTGAGTAGACAAGCCTGGCCACTGCTTAGAAAACTAGAAGGCAATAACACACCCGACCGCCCAATCAATCTAGATCTAGATCAATATAAAATCGCTTACACACAATTAAAGTTTAAAAAGACCTTGAAAACTTAAAATCTACTTGCCCACATGAAACAAAGTATTCTAAGCCTTTGACCTATGAAAAAATCACGGATACTCTTAATGAAATGAAAACGTAAAAAGCCACTGCCTTTGGTGGCATTAGGGAAAGCTAAAGATTCACCAAAAAATTACAGTTTAATTGCACTTCTAACTATGATCTGCAAACTACTAGCCAAACTATACTATTGTTGGAATTAGATAGACAATACTCCAACATAAACTTGTGGAACAAGCAGGATTTTGATCAAACCGCAACTGTACAGACTAATTCCTAGCACTGACTTACTACATTGAAAAAGGCTTTCAAAAACAACTAAAAATGTCTACTGTTTTTATTGATTTATCATCAGCGTACAATACCGTATGGAGACAAGAAGTAATATATAAATTAATGTGAGCGATTTCATGCAGAAAGATCACTAATTATTGCTATGCTATGCGACAGAAGTTTTCAAGTCATCATCGGCGATAAGTGAAACCCAAATGAAACTGAACAGTGGGCTCCCACAAGTACCGTTGCTGGCTCTACTAAACATCCGAAACTACATCTAAGAAGTTTGGATATGCAGATGACTGGGCGCTTGCTACAAACCATAAGGAATTGGGGACTAATGAGCAAATGATAATAAATGTCCTAGCTACCCTCAGAAGATATTTTTTGACAGAGACTGACCACTACCAATTCTTACTGACAGAGTAACCATCCACTGACTGACCATCCACTTTGAAGAAAAAGTCCTTAACCACACTAAACATCAAAAATATCTATATGTGACACTCGATAGAACGCTAAACTTTAAATAACATCTGAAGCAGATGACTGCAAAACTTTGAACATGAAATAACATTCTGCAAGAGTTATGCGGTACCACATGGAGTTGCTCAGCGTGGGATTCGTATATCCCATTGCGGAGTGCTGTACATCGGTGTGGCTAAATAACCCGCACACAAAACGTGTTAACACCCAACTAAACCAGGCTTCACGTATTATATCGGGTACAATGAGGGCCACACCAACATACTGGCTACCAGTACGAAGCCACATAGTACCCTCGCACGCTTGCTGAGGACATCTTATGAGGAAGTATAGAAAAATTAACGCTGATCCTGTACTCCGCTTCCACGTTAGTATCACCTGCAGAGATATAAATGGACTTCGTTCACGAAACAACTCTAAATTCGGCTCCAATTGAGAGGAACTTCAAAATAACTGACCGTTAGCAAGAAGATTGGGAGCAGAATGTACCATTTGACACCTGGAATATGCCATGTGTCACAAGCAAGCCAGAGGTTTTGCCAGAACAGAATATGCCAGAACAGAATCAGAACAAACTGTGACAATACACCACTCACTTTTTAGGTAGGGCAAAGTACCCTCCCAAACTGCGATTGTGGTGCTGAAAGACAAACCATTAAACTAGTGAAGGAATTCCCGATTAGAATCGTCCGATTTCTTAGTTGTTACCAAAGAGTCAATTCAGTATATTCATCAACTAAACTCTTACTCTTTGTGATGTATTGTTTATACAAAACTTAACTGTGATATAGCCATACGCTAAATAAATACAACCATCATAGCAACGAGATTGGATAAAAAGTAGACCTGTGTCAAACAGAGAGCAAGCGGGATTTCGATTAAAGTTTGGCACCAACGACCACCTGCAAACAAAATACAACTCGTTGAAAATTCATAGAATACAAAAGATCTCTGGTCTTAGTGTTTACAGATTTCCACAAACCGTTTGACTCGGTAGAACTAGATAGTGTTATTGAAGCATTCAATGAAAGTCACATTGATAGTAGTTATTCGGTTATAAAATGGCTATACACCATAGCGTGGGGTTATACCGCGAATGCTTTCTAGATCCTATTTCTTGGGTGGATCAGTCCCTTTTGTTTATGTTATCTTCTTGACAATATCTCTCCATTTTTTCCTGTCTCTAGTTTTTCCTCTCTATTCTCTGACTCCTGCCCTTTGAAGGTTTTCTTCAACTTCTTGCAGCCACTTTGATCTTGGTCTCCCCTTTTCTTTGTTCCTCTTGATTCCATTCTATAATTACGTATGTCACTGCTTTATATCCTGTTTCTAATTTATATTCGTTTGTTTTTTCCATAATTTGTTTTATTGTGTGTAATGCATCTATTGTACATCTTCCTTCTGTGAATCCATATTGGTACTATCTCACTGTCTGCTTTATGATCTTTGATAACATCCTTTTTATTATTGATGTTAATATTTTATATTTTGTATTTACTAACGTTATTCCTCTATAATTTTCACAAATTTGTTGGTCTCCCTTTTTATGTATTGTTATGATCTGCCCTACCTCCCAGTCCCCTGGCATTTCTCTTATTTCCATACATTTTTCACTAGTGCCAGTATTTTTCATCTCAGCTCCTTTCTATGTATTTTATTAGTTTCGTATTAATTCCATCTTTGCCAGTTACTTTTCCATGTTTGCTTGTCTGTATAACTTCCTTCAATTGCTCTAATGTTGGTTCTTTTGAAATTTCGATGTCTACTTCATCTATTACTTTTTCTTTGTGCACTGTTTCGTCCTAGTTATTCATTTCTTCTCCTGTTGTTTTCTCCGTCAAGAGCTCTCTGGAGTAATCCCTCTATTCTTACTTGTATTCTTGATCCTATATCACTGTTCCCTCTTTATTTTTTATTCCGTTTGTTTTGCCTTTGTATTTTTTGTTTTGTTTTTTAATCTTTTTTTTAAAATTTTTCGTGTTTCTGTTTTTTCTTTCCTGATCTATTTCCTGCATTTTTTCATCTACTCATCTTCTTTTATCTTGCCTTATCACTTTCTTATCATTTTTTCTTAATTTTTCATATTAATTCATTCATTCGTTTTGTTGTTATATCTTCTGCTTTATATTGCTCTTTTATTTGTACTGGTACTGCTCCTTCATATTTTTTTCTTAATTCTTCATTACTCATTTTATTGATCTTCCCCTTGTTATGTTGATTTTTCTGTTTTGTTGTCTGTCAATTTTAACTTTTTGTCTTATAATAGCTGTGACCATGGAGTGGTCTGAATCTGCACACGCACCTCTAAATGTTCTTACATCTTTTATTGACGATTGTTTGCGTTTATTAATCATTATCTGATCAATTTGAATGTATGTTTTCTGATCTAGTGACCTCCATTATTCCCGATTAATATGCAACATTTATAGAAATGCGACAAATGTAATACATGAAAATAGTAACAAAATAAAAGTTCAAAGAGGTGTAAGCATTTGTGGCACACTATCATCAAAGCCTGTTTATAAAAAACCGTTTAAAATCCTTGATTTGAATCATAAGGGGATAAGTGTCAACTGGAAAAGACTGCACCAACTAGGTTAGGCTGATGACATATTTTTTATAGGAGATTACCTAGGTGAAATCAACACCATGTTTAAAGAAATGGAAAGAGCTTACAGAGAAATCAGTTTAAAATAAATATCACCAAAACAAAATATGACGTATATGAAATATAAATGGTAAAACACTAAAATAGAGAAAACATAGAGAAGAATTCCATAAATTAATAAAGCGTAAGAAGAACAGTTCCAACAATTTTACATGAAACAGAGCATCTTCTGCAGGGCCCCCAAAAACTTTTATGTGTGTATTTAATTATTTCTAATACATGTTTGACAATACTATGAATAATTTTATACGTGCTTATGTGTTGTGTTACGTGTTCGTGTTTTTTGTGTTACTTTCCAGGATTGTGGAATTAAACCAGCTGGTATTGGACACTAATGTTGTTTTTAGATAACCATCTAATAATTCGGTTTGAAATTTTTCAGCAAAGTCAACTCATGACGTCCTGAATACGGAATGGAAAACTTTTGTAGGAGATTTGAATCCTGCTGTACATGCTACGGTCAGCACTATAGCCACAACTATAATAAATGGAATAGTATCGAGAATACCTTATGAGTCCATATTTGTATAAACTCACTGTGTTGGATGTACCTATGTAGCCATAATATGTCTGTGTTATAATTATTATATACAGTATTACTGTAGTATTAACTAGAAACTAATAAATAGATTTGCATTCAAAAAAAAAATAATTTTAAATTAAACTAACTTACAAAAAAAACCCTTAAGCGAGTTTGCTATCACAAATCATGTATACTCGATCTAAGCACCATGTACACTGACTTTATTCATGATGAAGTCCTGGAAATAGGTCTAGAAATTAAATCGATTCCATCCTTATTATTAATAACTGGATATTATCAATTCAAGCAGTTAGATTATGTCCAGGGAAGATATGAAGATCCTATCATTTTCTCTTCGCAACTAAAGTGAAGCTCCAATTTAACCCATTATTGCTCACCCCGACAAGCGAAAAACTATAAAATACCTAAATCCTTTGGTAGTTGCTTTTAATTACGATCATAATTATATAAAAAAATATTTTGTAAATTTTTTAAATTTGGTTTTTGAAAAAAAAAAATGGTGTACCCAATCAGGTACACTGGAACAATCAGTATAAAATATATAATAGTATATTACTTTATGAGGCGGAGAAGCATGACTTTTCTTGACGCGCCCGATATTACGCGCCGAACGAAGTGAGGCGCGTAATAGAGGGCAAGTCAAGAAAAGTCGCTTCTTTGCCGAATAAAGTATACTAGTTTTTCTTCAAACTTCTCAATTTTCAACCATAAATAGTACAATTCATACGCTATTTTTACTCGAAATTAACTGTGACAATTATCAAAGTCGTCTAGATGTTAGAAATTAAAATAATTAAGTCGTCGGTGGGATTTGCGTCTCCCTGGTTACAGTTGTTTGACAGTTGTTTGCAATTATTAAAGACAGCTTATTGTTGTTGCAACCGCAAGCGCAAATTTAGTGCGAAAATGGAAAACCTAAACGAAATTGAGTCTGCGGCTAATGATGCAGTAGCACGTTTGGGGCCTTCCAAGTCCGGAATAAAGTATCGGTTAGCGTACAAGCACCTCCAAGTGTGGTGCGATACAAGAGGAGTACGGCAAGTTACCGAAGACGTTTTACTGGCATATTTTAATATATTGGAAAATGAAAATAAATGGAAATCTTCTACAATGTGGTCACGATACTCTATGATAAAATCCGAGTTAGCTATTAGAAAAAATGTGGATATAAGCAAATTTTTAAAGTTGTGTGCCTTTCTGAAAAAAACAAGCGAAGGATATACTGCAAAGAAGTCTAAAGTTTTCACTAAAGACGAGTTTGATAAATTTTTGTTTGAAGCGCCAGATAAGTTGTATTTAGGATTAAAGGTAAAAAATTATATTGCAGTATACTTACTAAATTATAAAAATATTTCAGATTGTTTTGTTAATTGGGGTTACCGGCGCCTGTCGATGCAACGAAATGGTAAACATGAAGACTGTGGACATTGAGGATAAAGAAAATGTAATAATTATCAAAATCCCAGACAGTAAAACACGACAAATTAGATCTTTTGATAATTGGTCAAAACTACATTAAACTGTATAAAAAGTATGCATCACTGCGGCCTGAAAATTTCACAGAAAACCGATTTTTTATCAAGTACCAAAATGGAAAGTGTTACCGAAGCGTCATGGGAATACATTCGATCAGCGCAGTAGCCCAAAAAGTAGCTAGTTATTTAAATTTAAACGATGCAAGTGCATACACGAGTCACTCTTTACGACGAATTTCAGCAACACTTTTAATTGATGGAGGCGGAAATCTAGAATGCCTCAAACGACATGAGGGCTGGATATCAAGCACGGTTGCCGAAGGATATATAGAGGATTCAATAAGAAATAAGAACGATAATGCTCAAAAAATTTTAAACCCTCATGATTGGCCAACATCGGGAATGATCGCTGAAAGTTGTTCTCGACCATCAGTATCATCAACAATTACCAATGCCTATCAAGAGTCGGGAACATTTTTGCACGGTTTCAATTTTGAAAATGCCTCATTAACTAATTATACTTTTAATATTACTATAAATAAAAATGTTGTTTAATTGTTGTTAATGACATTTGTAGTGTTGCTTTGTGACATGTTTCATATTGTTGCCATAACAACATTTTTCCCTCCGCCGTAAAGAAATGGGGAAAAAAAACTGGTGCCGGCGGAGACATCAAACTTTGACAGGATCAAGTTAGATAAGTAATGTCATCATTATTTGACGATTGAAGAAAAAACAAATTTTTACAGAACCAGTAGCAATATTAAACATAAAAATGCATTCAGACCAAGGAAATATTTAATATAAATACGTACACGTACATAAAAAACACATAATTAATTAGGAGTGAAATATTTTGAAACACTCTCTCTTCAGTCTCTTCAGTCAAAGAGTTACATTGTATTTTTCACACCTCCATCTAACTCTGATGTGGCATTAGCCACATCTTCAAGATAAAAAAATGGCCATCAGGAGATTCTTCTTTTTGTTGTGTCACTTCTATCGGAGATTGGAAATTATCAAGGTATGGTAAATATTATCTTGGGTAGTAAATAATATTGTTGTAACTAGTTGCCCATTTATTAATCACTGCTTTGTACAATATTTCACTATTATAAACTTAAATATATCAGTACTTAATTGACGCTGGCCATAGTGTCGGTATAATAATTAAGATCCCCGAGAATGATTGGTGTTGCTTTTAATAGCCTCGGCCTTGCTGACTCAGCGCTCTTGTTACTATTCGTGTCAAGTGTATTCCCTGACCTACACCACAAGTAAGTCGTGCAATTTTACTAGAGTGCTGACTGGCTGTTTTAATTAGAGTATGTTATATATGAATGACCTCGATTTAAATTACCGAATGTTTACATAAACAGAATGTTACACGAGTATGAATTATAATATTATTTTATCTGTAATTCTGATACTTAAGGGTTGATATTACAAAGGCTATCCTGACCTTGTTTACAGCTGACCTAAAGAGTTCATTAGTGGTACAGCCAAACCACTATCTCAAATTACGCAACCATAACATTTTTGTACGGCCTGGATTCCGTTTTTCTTCTATTTTTCCTTGCATTATATTTTGAAGTCATGCGTTTATGTCCTCTCATCAGGTGACTTCTCCACACGTCCAAGGACTCGATCAGCTGGAAGAAAACTATGGCCACGAGTCGGAAAGGTTACATGAATGTTCTGTACATTCTCTGGAGCCTTATTTTTAAGCCAATGGCATAAACCATGAACAATATGAGCATTTTTATTTTGGCCAGCGCAACCATCACATAGCAAAAGAGGACCAGGAAGAAGACGCAACTCTTGGCTTAAAAAGCTTCGGCAATGGACGAACATGACCTCCATAGAACTATTCAGGGCTGCTACAAATAAGATTAAATGGGCAAATGTAATGGCCAACGTCCTTAGGGATAAGGCACCGTAAGAAGAAGAAGAACCATCACAAAACAACGATACTGCAGAAAAAGGCGAAAGATCTTGGCGTCTTAAGTGACGGATGAGTGCAGATCCGATTTCATTTGCTCCTTTGCTTCCTTGCGTTTCATTCCACGTATAAAATGTTGGTGCCTTTGAGATAATAGTCACACAGCAAAATGCATAGAATGCAATTTGTCGACAACCTAAAAAAACGACCGAGGATGGACCAAGGTTATTTTTATTGGTTATAATATGATGAGCATTGATCTTCTTTTTTAATCGGTAAAAGACATAGGTTAGGTTGGGAGAAACAAAAATGCGCATCTCGCATGGTAAAGGTAAAAATTTACGGTGGGATCCCTAGATCGTTGTATCTCATACAGCGTGGCTACGCTACACACTGTCAGTGCGACCCCTGAGTAGTTTTAGAACTAACGAATTTTATATTTTGTTTCACGAATCAACATCTAGTTCTAAAGGATGCTTTTAAAACCAAACAAAAATAGTAGAGGGATAGTTTTGCAGGTCGTAGGATTTATGCAATTTTGTAAAACAAAAACTAATTTTAATGGTTAACTAAAGAAGGAGATGTTTGAGAATAACTCCATATATACTCAATATAATTAAAAAATGATACAGAACAAAATTTGAGGTTTTTTTTAACAAATATTTTCCTTTTTTTATATATTTTTGTAGGATAAAACATAACAGAGATAAAAACTTTTAAAACCTAAATTTTACTGCGAGAACCATGTAACCGGGGCCTTTTAACCTTTTGTCTTCTAAAAAATAGGGGATTTAAAGATTAAATTTATTACGACTTTATAGCCCTTGAAATTATCTTTCAAATGGTTTTTGAATGAACCTGATATCATAGAAAATAACGGAGTTATTGTAAAAAACAATTCAAAACAAACAGTCAATTTCTAGACTCACTCTTCAGACTCTTTAACAACAGCGGGGAGTTTCCTGAAGACTGGCTAGAGTCAACTTTTGTTGCCATACCGAAAAAACCAAAAGCAAAGTCTTGTGATCAACATCGGATGATAAGTCTAATTAACCATATTTCGAAGGCATACACCAAGGTTATTTACAACAGAATAAGCAAAAAATGCAAGGATAACATTGGAGATTCGCAGTTTGGGTTTCGTAATTCTCTTGGGACAAGAGAAGCACTTTTTAGTCTACATGTACTCATCCAGCGCTGCAGAGATATGAACAAAGACGTGTACATATGCTTTATAGACTACGCAAAAGCATTCGATAACGTAAAGCACGAAAAGATAATTGAAGTTCTCCATAAGATCGGAGTCAACTACAGAGATACAAGTCAAAGTAGGATCTACATTGACCAATAAAATTGAGATCAAGAAAGGGGTACGACAGGGCTGTATCTTGTCTCCAATTCTCTTTAATATATACTCAGAAGAAGTATTTAAGACAGCGCTGGAGGAAAGAACAGAAGGCATAAAGATAAATGGAGAAACAATTAATAACATAAGGTATGCTGATGACACTGTGATTCTAGCAAGTAGCATGGAGAAACTGAGTTGCCTAATAAGTAAGATACAAAAAACAAGTGCACAATACCGACTCAGACTAAATATCACAAAAACCAAATGGATGTTAGTAAGCAAAACCCAACAACCACCACAGCAACTGATATTAGACAATGAAAGAAT